CTGAGTGAAAATTCTGTCTGTCCCTGAGTATGAATTCTGTGGCCCTAACTAGCGTTTCTTTGTCCTAAAATTACGATTCTGTGGCCCTCATTAACAAGTCTGTTTGTCCCTGAGTAATGGTTCTCTGTCCCTAAGTAACTTCTCTCTGTCCCCAATTCTCGTTTCTGTGGCCCTAACTCTGTCCCTGTCCCTAGTACAGAGCGGTCTGCCTCTGTTCAATGACTGCAGGCAAATGAAAGATTTCCAAAATGGCCGCTATATATACCTCGACCATTACACAGTGCTGGCTGGCTGGCTGCTGATTGGCTGATGCGATCACATGTCGTTGAGGCATGCATTATGGGGCAGCGCGCTTGTCTGCGCGCCTTCCCCGACATCCCCGCTCCGTCGCCGCACATGTCAGCCGCCATTTTCGGAAAAATTTCGATTCGCGCGTCAGAATTAGGCTGTTTTTCGGATTCGGCACGAATCGAAATTTTTCCGAATATTCGACTCGAATTCACTTCGGATACTTCGATTCGCTCATCTCTAAACAGCACCATGTGCTGCAATGTGCAGAATTGTCTGAGGCGTTTGGGAAGCGGTAGTGTGAAACGTAGCCTTGGACTTTAAGTGTTTTCCAATTTTAAGAACGATGCACAATAATTCATTCACGTACATTAATGGCCAATATTGCATTGCGTTTATTCAAGCTAAAAAAATGTATTTTAAAAACCATAAAACAGCAGCAGGAAAGGGCAACACATTAGCAAAATGGTTTAGCACTTCTGCCTGGCAGTACTAGGGTTCGAATCCCAACCACGGCACCAGCTGCCTGGAGTTTGCATGTTCTCCCTCTGCCTGCATTGGTTTCCTTCCTAACCAAGAAAGTGCTGCACCACCAGGCTGAGGATTCCTTCCTAACATGGAAGTGCTTTTACCTAGTACACCAGGCTGAGGATATGTTCCAGGCAAGGCACACTTGTGAACTTTCCTGCTGAAGGACAGACAGCAGATTAGTTCTATTGTCTTACATGACCTTACTGGCACAGGATGACATGGGGTTTGCATACCTCTGGTTCTGCTCCTTCAGAACTGACAGAATCTCTGTATGGCTCCTGTCCCCTTAGTCCCCTAGATGTTACTGGCATTTGGTGGAGAAAAAGGTGTACACTTCATTTCAAATAAGTTCTTCTAAACTGCTGTTTTATGTTTGTAGTCACCTTAGGCTCACTAATCATTGAGTTTTCCACACTTACAATGGAAAAGCATAAAAATCTAGACAAGCCTCTAAATGTGAGAGAATATAGATAGTACGAAAACCTATATTTCTTCCAGAACTTTTTATATAAACAAGCCAGATCATATGAATGTCCACCTTCAAAGAACAGCTCTAGACAAATCAATAAAATAAGTAACTGGCCCTATAATAATATCTAGGTAGCATAACCGATATGCAATACCACACTTAGAGTGGCTTCTGGGCAGGATTACAACAGCTCTCCCAGGGAGGCGACATTGAATGGCAGTAGAGAAAGCCTAAGAAAATGTGTGCATGTGTGGAGGGGGGGGGTAGAGTGGAGCCGAAGTGCATCAGTATTAGAGATGAGCGAAGTATTCAAAAATTTGATTCGGCTGATTCGGCTGATTCGGCGAATTCGAGGAATAAATTTGATTCGAGGCGAATATATTCGCTGCGAATTTAACTTTAAAAAGGGTGTTTCTAGGCTTCAGAGAGCCTTTATATTAGTGCAGAAATGAGTGCCGTCGATCTTAGAATCACCGCACACTTCACTCATTTGGGCAGTCACGGGGCCAAAACCAGAGTGTGGAGCCACAGTGTGGCGGTGGAGGCAGCAGCAATGGGAGGCCATACAGCACCCTATGACAAAATGGAACCCACCAGCAGTGTGAGGAGACCTGAAAGTGGCACATGGCAGAGTGTGGCGATGGAGACAGCAGCAATGGGAGGCCGTACAGGGACCCATGACACACTCTGGACCTGGCAGCAGCATGAGGAGGCGGTACAGGGGCCATGACAGATTACGGGGCCTGGCAGCAGCATGAGGAGTCGGTACGGGGGCCCATGGCAGATTACGGGCCTGGCAGCAGCAATGGGAGGCCCGTAATCTGCCAGCACCCTATGACAAAATGGAACCCACCAGCAGTGTGAGGAGACCTGAAAGTGGCACATGGCAGAGTGTGGCGATGGAGACAGCAGCAATGGGAGAGCCGTACAGGGACCATGACACACTCTGGACCTGGTAGCAGCATGAGGAGGCCGGTACAGGGGCCCATGACAGATTACGGGCCTGGCAGCAGCATGAGGAGTCGGTACTGGGGCCCATGGCAGATTACGGGCCTGGCAGCAGCATGGGAGGCCCGTAATCTGCCAGCACCCTATGACAAAATGGAACCCACCAGCAGTGTGAGGAGAGACCTGAAAAGTGGCACATGGCAGAGTGTGGCGATGGAGACAGCAGCAATGGGAGGCCGTACAGGGACCCATGAGACACTCTGGACCTGGCAGCAGCAGCATGAGGAGGCGGTACGGGGGCCCCATGGCAGATTACGGGCCTGGCAGCAGCAATGGGAGGCCCGTAATCTGCCAGCACCCTATGACAAAATGGAACCCACCAGCAGTGTGAGGAGACCTGAAAGTGGCACATGGCAGAGTGTGGCGATGGAGACAGCAGCAATGGGAGGCCGTACAGGGGACCCATGAGACACTCTGGACCTGGCAGCAGCATGAGGAGGCGGTACGGGGGCCCATGGCAGATTACGGGCCTGGCAGCAGCAATGGGAGGCCCGTAATCTGCCAGCACCCTATGACAAAATGGAACCCACCAGCAGTGTGAGGAGACCTGAAAGTGGCACATGGCAGAGTGTGGCGATGGAGACAGCAGCAATGGGAGGCCGTACAGGGACCCATTGACACACTCTGGACCTGGCAGCAGCAAGAGGAGGCGGTACAGGGGCCCATGGCAGAGTGGCGAAGCGTAAGGAGGCAATCTTAAATTGAAGGCCATACAGAGGCCTATGTTAAAAATAATAACATGTTTGGGGCATGATTCATGGCGGATTTAGTCAGTTGTGTCAGGAACTGGTGGTTTGAAATCCAGACTAATCCACGCCTGATTCATTTTCACAAACGTGAGTCTCTCCACACTTTGGGTGGGACAGTCGTGTCCTCCGCGGAGTTACAATACCTCCTGCCGCACTAAACACGCGCTCCGATGCCACGCTACTGGCCGGGCCATGACAGCCTTTCAAGGGCAAATTCAGCTAGTTGGGGCCAAAGGTCAAGTTTCGTTGCCCAGTAGTCAAGGGGATTGTCTACCTCGGTTGGCAGGGTGCTGTCCAAGTAGGCCCAAGCCTGTTGTTTGAGGTCCTGCTCCAGGTCCACCTGATGCTGCTGCTGCTGCGGCTGGTTTAGTAGTTTCCTCACTGCGCTGGTGAAGAAAGCTACTCATCATCGACTGCAGACTGAGGCAGCCGCTGCTGGTGGAGCTGCCACTGCTCCTACCACCCCACCCCTCCCCTGCTGCCATGGCAGCGGAACGCGAGCGCACAGGGCCCACAGTGTCTGAGGATGGACGTTGGCGCAGAAAGGCAGAGACCAACTGACTACATAGGTGGTTTTTATAGTACGTTATTTTGGCCTCCCTCTCAGCAGGTGTGAAAAAAAGGCCACCATTTTTTGAACGGTAGCGAGGGTCCAACAAGGTGGACAGCCAAAAGTCATCCCTCTGTCTGATGGTTATTATTCGGCTGTCGCTACGCAAGCAACCGAGGAGCATGCTATGGGCCATTTGTGCCAAGGAATGCGAGGGACTCCCTGCCTCCATCTCCACAGCATACTGCCACGGTGCGTCTGGGTCCTCTGTCTCCTCCTCCTCCTCCTCTACCAGATGCTCCTGCTCCTCCACTCCTGTCCGCTGAGTGGAAAAACCACCCATTTCACTCAATAATTCCTGAGCACCAATGTCCTCCTCTACCTCCTCCTCTTCTTCCTGTCCTGCCCCCACAGGGGTCATGTGGCGTTGAGATCTGTGCGCCACGTCTACCGCACCCTGACCAGCCATTGTTAACAGCATTTGTTCCAGGACGTGCAACAGAGGAATGACGTCGTTCATCCCATAGTCCTGCCGACTCACGAATAGCGTGGCCTCCTCAAAGGGCCTGAGCAAGCGGCAGGTGTCACGCATGAGCTGCCAATGGCTGACATCTAAGTTACACAGGGGAGTACCTTTATCCGCTTGTAACATCAGGAAATCGGTGATGGCCTTTCGCTGTTCGTAAAGGCGGTCTAACATATGTGTAGGGTTGAATTCCACCTTGTTGCAACAACGTCGCAGATCAGGCGATGCTGTGGAATTCCGTTCTGCCGCTGCAGCTCAAGGAGGGTGTGCTTTGCGGTGTAGGAATGGCTGAAATGCATGCAAAGTTTACGTGACATTTTTAAGGATGTCTTGCAGTGGGATGGTGGATTTTAGGAACCGCTTGACAACCAGATTGAACACGTGAGCCATGCATGGCGCATGGCACAACCTTCCTTGACGCAGAGCAGACACCATGTTCTTTCCGTTGTCGGTCAACATGGTTCCGATTTTCAGTTTGCGCGGAGACAGCAGCCATCTGTCGATTTCTCTGTTCATTACACTCAGAAGTTCCTCCCCTGTGTGACTACGTTCGCCAAGGCATACCAGGTGCAGCACAGCGTGACACCGTTGCGCCCTGCACATGTGATATGCCGGTCGGGTAATGGGACTTGGCACGGGGGGGGGCGGCTGAGGACACGGCGGAAAGAAGAGGTGGTAGAGGCGGACATCTTTGCTGGACCAAGGACGTGCAAACGTGGAGGCAAAAAAGCGGCGTGACCTGTCCAAGTTGCTGGTGCGGCTGTGCCGGCACCACGTTCACCCAGTGGGCCGTAAATGACATGTACTGTCCCTGACCGTAGTTACAGCTCCACACGTCGGCGCTGCCGTGCACTTTGGCAGAGACCGACATGCTCAAAGACTGGCCCACCATCTCTTTCTACATGTGAATGCAGGGCTGGCACTGCCTTTTTGGCGAAGAAATGCCGGCTTGGCACTCTCCACCGCGGCGCGGCACAAGCCATCATTTCTCGGAAAGGTGCTGAGTCCACCACTTGGAAAGGGAGGGACTGCAGCACCAGCAACTTGGACAGGAGGACGTTCAGCTTCTGCACCGTCGGGTGCGCGTGCTCGCAAAACTGTTGTCTCTTGGAAACGGATTCCAAGAAAGACTGCTGACGGAATCCGTGAAGAGGAGTAGCAGGAGAAGGAGCATCTGAACGAGCGGAAGATGCCAACGAGCGACAACTCCCCTCAGCAGAGGTGTTGGAGCCTTGACTGGCTGATAGAGGGCGATTGACGTCGGGTGACGGAGCAAGTAACGGAGCGGGTGATGGAGCGGGGGCTGGGGCAGGCAGAACCGCCGTATCTTTATCACGGTTTTCCAGGCCACCGAATGGCGACGCTGCATATGCTGACGCAACGCTGTAGTCCCAACATGGGCCCCCTGGCCACGCTTGACTTTCTGGCCACATAGTCGACATACGGCTACGTTTACTTCCTCGGGCGGGCTTGACGAAAAATTGCCACACCGCCGAGTAGGAAACTTTGCCCCGATACTCTTGCTCGGGTAATGCTACTCCTCACTGGCTGACTGCTACTTCCTCCGTGCACACCGGCACCACTACTGGCCGTGGTGGTAGGCTGCAGTGGAGCTGGTGCTCTACTCCGTGGCCGTTTGCCTCCACTGACACTGCTGCGACCCTGCTGCCTCCTGGGCAACCCACCGACTGTTTTGCTCGCTGCCAAGCTGGCACCCTCTTCTCCTGATGATGCGGAAGCAATAGCCTGATGACGACGAGGCTGCCAAGTGCGATCAGCCTCATCATCATCAATTAGGGTCTCCGCCTCACTACTAGCCCCCTCGGCTGCGTGTGGGTCAGGAGACAGACCTGTCTCTAGACCGCTACCGAGCCACTCTCCTCGCCAGTACTTCTTCGCCTGGCTGCTGAAGAGGCGGATGTCTCCCCCCGTTCCTGACCGCCCTCTGTTAGCTCTTCCTCACTGTACAGTGGGGCTGAGCCCACAGCATGCGATACTTCGCTTGGTGAGGGAACACCAAAGGACAGGGGCAGGTAGAGGACACGTGATTTCAGTGGGCTTGCTCCCGGGCCATGCCAACTAACGGTTGTGTCTGACGTACCCACCGACCGTTGGCTGTAGGTGTCAGAGGTGACCTGGGAAGAGGAAGACGACCGAGCCAACCAATCGATGACGGCAGGGTTGTCGGTGGAGACACGACCGCTGGATGACACCGGGAGCACTGGCCTCTGGCTGCGACTAGTGCTGCCTCGACCCCTTCCTCTGCTGCCACGTCTGCTCGCTCCTAAAACATTGCCTCCTCTGACCACTCCTCTGCGTGTTGTCTGACATACTCTTTAATTCAACGATTCTGTGTCCCTGAGTAACAATTCTGTGTCCCTGAGTAACAATTCTGTGTCCCTGAGTAACAATTCTGTGTCCCTGAGTAACAATTCTGTGTCCCTCTGTAACAATTCTGTGTCCCTCAGTAACAATTCTGTGTCCCTCAGTGTGTCCCCCTGAGTAACAATTCTGTGTCCCTCAGTAACAATTCTGTGTCTGTCCCTGAGTAACAATTCTGTGTCCCTCAGTAGTAACAATTCTGTGTCCCTCAGTAACAATTCTGTGTCCCTCAGTAACAATTCTATGTGTCCCTGAGTAACAATTCTGTGTCCCTGAGTAACAATTCTGTGTCCCTGAGTAACAATTCTGTGTCCCTGAGTAACAATTCTGTGTCCCTGAGTAAGTAACCAATTCTGTGTCCCTGAGTAACAATTCTGTGTCCCTGAGTAACAATTCTGTGTCCCTCAGTAACAATTCTGTGTCCCTCTGAGTAACAATTCTGTGTCCCTTCTGAGTAACAATTCTGTGTCTGTCCCTGAGTAATCAATTCTGTGTTCCCTGAGTAACAATTCTGTGTCCCTTGAGTAACAATTCTGTGTCTGTGTCCCTCTGGAAGTAACGATTCTGTGTCCCTCAGTAAATCAATTCTGTGTCCCTCAGTAACAATTCTGTGTCCCTGAGTAACAATTCTGTGTCTGTCCTGAGTAACAGTTCTGTGTCCCTGAGTAACAGTTCTGTTGTCCTGAGTATCATTCTGTGTCCTGAGTAAACAATTCTGTGTCCCCTGAGTATCAATTTGTGTCCCTGAGTAACGCAATTCTGTGTCCCTGAGTAACAATTCTGTGTCCCTCAGTAACAATTCTGTGTCTGTCCTGAGTAACAAGTTCTGTGGTCTGCTGGGAGTAACAATTCTGTGTTCCCTGAGTAACCTTTCTGTGTCCCTAAGTAAACGATTCTGTGTCCCTAAAGTACTCTGGTGGCCCCTAACTCTGTCCCTAATACAGGATAGGGTCTGTCTCTGTTCTTTGAAGCGGGCCGGAGGCAAATGGAGAATTTCCTAAGATGGCCGCACCGCAATTTATCAGCTCCGGCCATTACAGCAGGGTGGCTGGCTGGCTGGCTGCTGATTGGCTAATGGCGATCACATGTCGATGAATGATTGCATTATGGGTCAGCGCGCGCTTCCCTGGGCGCTCTTCAGAGATCGGAGCGCTTCCGTCGCCACACTGTCGCCGCCAATTTTTGGAAGGGGTTCTCGATTCGCGCATCCGAAGTCTGCTACTTTTCTGGATTCGGCGAATTTTTTCGT